GTTGACAAGTTTGAGGATAAATCAGATGTATAATGTGAAAAAACATGAAGAATTAAGAATGGCTCCTGGGTTTGGGGTGTGAACAACTATAAAAATGTAGTTGCCATTAGTTGAGTAAAACTCTGGATTTAAGAATGAGGCCTAGTTAGACATGCTAGGTTTGAGATGACTGGACATCCCTGGAGAGATGTTGAGTAGGCAGTGGCTACACAAACCTGGAAGAGTCTGGCCTAGAGATGAAAATTTGAGAATCGCAGCATATAGATGGTATTTAAAGATGTGAGTGGATGAGCTCACCAAGAGAAAGAGTATAGACAGAAAAGAGGAGGTCTAAGAAAAAGGTTCACGTTAACTTCAGCATACATTAGGAGTTGGGAGATGAAGAATTAGTGAACAGGAACAGCTGGGATGTGGTGTCCTGGAAGCCAAAAAATGAAAAAGTTTCAGGAGGCACGTGATCACCTGGGTTGAATGCTGCTGGTAGGCCAAGATGAGGGCTGAGAACTGACTGACCAATGGATTTAGCAATGTGATACTGTGTGTTTCAACTGAAATTTTCAAATAATCAGTGAACTTTGAACCTGAAACTTACTTGTATCTTAACCTCAAAAACCAAGTACTCTATAATTTATAACTTGATCTATAATCTCAGGCTTGAAGCACACACCAATTGATACTATACCTTGCTCCAGGCAAGATGGTCCTCGACACTGTCTATTGAAAGGGCAATCAACTTAACATTCCTCTTGGCAAATTCTGGTGCCAACTTCGCAGCTCTGCCAAGCTCTGTGGTGCACACTGGGGTAAAGTCCCGAGGGTGGGAGAAGAGAATGCCCCATCTGAAAGGAAGAAAAAAACAAGGTCACAATTGAATGAAGAGTTATCACCAACATCGCATAGAATGAAAAGTCATAACTTCTGGATCAAAAACAGGCTTTCTTTTTTTCAATGAATGCTTATGATGATATTTACTTTTAAGCTTTTCTGTTGAGTAATGCTTTTCAATCTACTTACCTCCAGAGAAGCCTATGCTTATAGCCCAATTCAAAGATTTAAAATTCAAGATGACACATATTTAAAAAGGCTAATTTTAAGGTGTTGCCTCCTTTAATAATTGTGGTGCCACCCTGACTCCTTTTTGGCTAATAAAATCTGTGCTATTCAAGTCAAGCAGCTTACTGAAAAAATTTAATTATTTCTTCTTATCCTTTTCTACATTTGTTTTCCTAGCATAGACCCTGACATTCAGCTCCAATAATGGATGTCCCAGAGTGCCCTGAACATCCTGGGACACCCAAACAAATGCCTGACTGCAATAATTAACAGATTATGTAATCTGAAATAAATAGGTTTCTATCCTCTATTTATATGTAAAAAAGTTGACATTTGGTTTCTTTGAAGCAAGTGGATATAAAATCTTTTGTAAAACCACTTTACTAATCTAACCTGCCAAACAGGATACCCAATATTTACACCCTGACAAAACAATAGCATCTTAACAGTTTTACGTATCTCTTCATTTGCAGTTTCTTTTTCTTCTGTCTTTGGACCAAGCAGGTAGAAGACGAATAGCCTACAATGTAGATTTCTATGGCGGCAAATTCTCAGGTAAATACTAACATCTAAGTCATCATTGTCTAAGATTATATTTATAGATTGTGAACACGTTTCAAGATGTCATCAGGAAAGCTGGAGTTTTCAACTGAAAAGGAAAATTTAACACTCAGTTCTCCGCATCCCCATCAACTTAAACCATCCTAAACCAGATGATTTAGGCAGAATCCTAAACTAGTAAATAACTAAATCTAGCCTAGATGCCAAGCTGACCTTTTCAAAGTTTCTCTGAGCACAGAGAACAAGCAAAGACAAGGGCACCTCCTTTCCACCTACAGCTGCCACTCAACTCCCAAGGTTTCAGGAAGGGAAAGACCTTCTTACACAAAGGATGGAGGGGAGGCTGGGCGTGGTGGCTCGCGCCTGTAATCCAAGCACTTTGGAGGCCAAGGCGGGCGGATCACCTGAGGTTGGGAGTTCAAGACAAAAAGGATGGAGGGCCCTATGACAAGACTGGGAAGAAAGTTGATATATTTTTTGTAAGAATGTGGAGGTGTGCACTATGTTCATTTTATTATTAAGATCAAAAAGAAGAAGATAGAGTATATCTTTTGACCTAAGTAATATCCCTATGAGTAAAATCTAGGCCTTAGATTCTATGGAAAATGATCTATTTAATGGTTAGATGAGACTTAACAGAAGGTCTCCAGAAGTTGAGAAGAAATGGAACAGGGCATTTCCTCCTGTATTGTTAAAGGGAGGATGAATTCTTTAGAAAAGTTAGGAGTTCTTTCTCCATTGTGAGTGAGTCAATAGAGACTGTTCTGCTGAATCATGAGAAAGGAACTGGTTTTAAGCCAGTTTACTGTCCTTCCCTCCCTCAGAAGCCAAGGTCCAGTTTTCCGAATGGCTACAAATAGGATAAACTCCAAGAATGTCTTACCTTGGACTTCCTTCCCCTCTAAGTCTTCCTACTGCTGCACTTAAGAGGAATTCAGTGACATTCTCCCATTTCCTTTCTTATTCATTTTCAAAAGACAAAAGGTTTCCTCCTTCAAGAAAATGGTTCCCACTTCCTAAGCCCCAGAATGGAAAACACATATTTTGTTTAGGGAAGATGTGCTAAGAAGCTGCTTCTACCACCTACAGAAACAGTGATAAGGTTCAATAAACTCACCCAATGCAGCATCCAACCTCTTTAGTTGTTTCCAATGATCAGAGGTAAGGTAGAGAGATACATTTTAATTTTTTCTCCTCAAAAATACCTGGACCAAAAATTGACAGTCTGACTTGGGATCATATACAGAACAATTTGGAAAAATCAGGCAAAAATCCATGTGTTATAAACATATAAAATACTCAAACTTCTCTTCCTGGTAAGGTAGGGAATACTGTGCCTGATCCTAGGCAGACTTGCATATTAGTTAATAAATGCAGATATTTTTGTTGTGTTCCTAACTATGGCTTCCTGATAAGGTACCACTTTTGATCAAATCTAGATGGCTCTAGAGGCCAATAAACATTAACAAAAACCCAAAAAAGTATGGTTAGTTTAAAAAGTGACAGCATTTATAACTGTTGGCACAGTAAATATGTTTTATGGTAATGTTTAATTTATACATGCTAACAGTTCTAGAAATATTTTATGTTTCATGGCGTTGAGGGCTGCAGGTAGAAACAGGAAGGAACACAACTCTAAAAATCCCAAGGATTGCTGGAGAAATATTACCTAAGTATGAGACTGGCCATAAGCTGTATATCTAAAGTATTTTTCTGTATTCAAGGTTTGAATATTCCATTTCTCAACCTTTTTTTTTTCAGCCTAATCCCATCTTTCAGAAAGCTTAATTTTTTCCTGTTCAGTGGCTAGAAAAGGGACTTAAGAGGTTGTAAGGGGCTGGGCAGAATCTCTTCCTGGTTTTCTGCACAGCCCTGTCCAATCATTGACTAATTTCATAAGCTTCTCTCTTTATCTCCCTGGATACTGTACATAAAAAGGAAACAAACTGGGGAAGAATTGTCATTGTCAAGCCTTGGAGCCCCACAGTGTAGTGGGACCACGATAACCCCAGAACCATAATATAACTGGACATGCCTGGAATGCTTCTGATGAAAACTAAGCAATTTCCAGTTTGCTGATTCAGGAACTGTTAAAAAAACAAAAAAAAAAGGGAAACACCGATTACTCCTATTCAAAATGGTAAAACTGCCAAGCCAGATCACAGGTCATCAATTTGACTATCATGTGCTAGAAGCAAGGCAGAAAGTAGAGGGGACAGTGAGGGGCACACCACTGGGAAACAAAAGAGTCTCAGAGTGGGGGAGTACACGTGTCCTGGAGCCTGGAACAGCCATCACAAGCGAGAATAGGTCACTGCAGCTGATCAGTTTCAGAAAGTCCTTCCCTCTAAGGGTTGCAAGTTCTGGAATCTCTGAAGGCACACCTACACACAGAGTGTTCTTGGCTCTTCCCAAAGCTGTTATCAGATCATATCTTGGCCAATGGAGGAGGCTAGGGACAAAAAGTCTTTCGGCCACTTACTTGGCAGTTAGTGGTTTTAAATTTTACATTTTGTGCCCAGAAGCCTGCAAATACTACTGCCAACTAGAGCCAGCAGCTGTGTCCTCCACCTTTGGCTTTAGACACCCATCCTCCCCAGGGAGCAAATTCCAGAACGGAGAGTGGGAGGGAAGGCGGTGTGACCCTGGGCAATATTCCCGAGAAGTGACCGCCAATGCCGCCCCGCCCCTTCGCCCTCGGCCAGAGTACTTGCACAGTTTACTAATCCGAGTTAAACGGAAAACAAACCCTCCCCTGAGCAGTGAGTTTCTAAGACCTGCAGAACCCAATTTTGTCCTCCCCACCCCCCACCTTGGCGTGGCCTTGCCCAGCCACGCCGGAGGTGGGGAGACCAGGAGGGATCTAGCAGCCCGCGCAGGACAGGCCGAAGGGGTGGGTGCCAGCCCCTAGCAGCGCAGCCGACGCTGAGCAGGGGCCACACGGCCTGGCGCACCAGAGAACCAGTGCAGAGGAAGGGGCGAGCGGCGCTGGGGGCTGAGCAGAGGGAAGGACGGAAGGGAGAAGAAATAGGGAAGGCAACCGAGTCCCGGTGCAATCGAGGCCAGGGCAGGGTTACGCGGGGGCTACTTACGAGTCTCCCAGAAAGTCATGGAAACGGATGGGGCCGACGGTGGTATTGGCCTCAAAGTTGGGAGCCACGTCCCCGAGAAGCAGACCTCCAGGCATGGCGGCGGCGGTGATGAGCTGGCGCCGCACGGACAGCAACCAAACGAGTGGTTCTCCCGAATAAGGAGCCTCTTTCCCGCGCGCAGATGAATAAGCGAAGGAGCGAAGGGCGGGGACTGGGGCGGCGGGGGCGGGGCCGGGGCGGGGCCGCGGGAGGCCGGCCTCGGGGGATCGCGCCGCGGGGGCGGGGCGGACGCGAGGGCGGACGCGGGGCCGGGCCAGGGCGGTGCAAGAGCTGGACAAAAGCGGCTACCGTCCGTGGCGCAGCCGGGCCTCCGTCCTGGTGGCATACTTCGGGCACTATAGGCCGTCTCCGCACACGTGATGCGGGGCTCGGTCACGTCGCCCCCTGGAGGCTTGAGGGTGCGCCAGGTTTGACTCTGCTGGGCATGCGCGCTTTGGGGGTGGAAGGAAGAGGAACGCAGCGGGAAGCAGAGCCCCAACCGGGAGAGTCGTCCCGGCGCGCACGCTGAGGCGGCTTCGTACAGCGGCCATAGGCGCTGCACGGATCCGGGCACACCTTCCTGCGCACCCACTCGTGGTCAACTCCCTACAGGAGCGGAGTGACTCCTGAACTCCCACCCCTCTTTTAGTGTGAGCGTCTGGAGTCCTGACCGCCGCAGCCAGCCCAGCCATGATGAGCTAAGAGGATGTGGCAGCCCAGCCACGACAAACTAAGAGGAAGTGTGGGTGACCTTATGTCAGAGGAAGTGGCTTTCTTATTGGAGCAAAAATTCCCTTACCAATGTCAGTGCTAGGGTAATGTAACCAAACTTATATTTATTCTTTATTCCACCCCCCTTTCCATTTGTTATGAACCATAAAATATTCAACACAATTATTTCGAAATCTAAATATAAAATTTAAAACATAACTTATTGAGACCTACGGTGTGCAAGTCAACTCTGTTACGGAGGGAAGTGGGAGGCTTAGATTCATTTCTTTCCTATGAGCCAAGCACAAGGTAGCTAAGATGCCTGTTCTCTTGGAGCTTTCCTTCTTGTGAGGGGAAACCGGTGACAGACAATAAGCACAGAAACCAAAATATGTCCTATTCAGACAACTAAAATAGGGTTATGTGTCTAGAGGGTGACTGGGGGTGCTGCTTTGGATCGGGTAGTCTGGGAAAGCCTGCAGGATAATGTAGGTAAAATAGCTCATGGTAGGTGCTCTGGAAACGGTAGCCATTGTTTGGGTGATGATACTGGTTCACGTAATAACTCTTGCGTTGTCTACTGTGTGCTGGACACTGTGCCAGGCCATGCAATGGAGAGACAGTCCCTGCTCTTAAAGGGAAGGCATATTTATATGCAATTATAATAAAACGTAGGGTAGTGGCTGGGCCCGGTGGCTCACGCCTGTAATTCCGGCACTTTGGGAGGCCGAGGCAAGCGGATCACGAGGTCAAGAGTTCGAGACTAGCCTGGCCAACATGGGGAAACCCCGTCTCTACTAAGAATACCAAAAAAAAAAAAAATTAGCCGGGCGTGGTGTCTCGTGCCTGCAGTCCCAGCTTCTTGGAAGGCTGAGGCAGGAGAATCTCTTGAATCTGGGAGGCGGAGGTTTTAGTGAGCCGAGACTGCGCAACTGTACTGCAGCCTGGGCGACAGAGCAAGACTCTGTCTTGGAAAAACAAACAAACAAAGGGTAAATGCTGATGGGGGAAGGTGGAAGGTGGAAGGTGTAAATGACTGGAGTTCAGAGATGAGAAAAATCCTCTGGATGGGACTGGCAGGCTTACGGCAGGGGCGCGGCAGTGTTGAGAGTAGTGACTCACATACTGTGATTTATGTTTTCATCATAGTAATGTGTTTGTGTGTGCATGCTAATCATATTTACCCAGTTCTTCACTGAACCGGGACCTGCAGTAAAATTACTGGTAAAATTTCTAGACCCTCCAGAAAACCATCTAAAGCGAATGTAATTTAATTTCTAATTTGGCTTGAAGCTTTTTTATTTTTTTTGAGATGGGATCTCGCTATGTTGCCCAGGCGGGAGTGCAGTGGCTATTCACAGTCGCTATCCCACTACTGATCAGCGATCCCAATACTGATCAGCAAGGGAGTTTTGACCTACTCCACTTCCGACCTGGGCCGGTTCACTCCTCCTTAGGCAACCTGGTGTTCCCCTGCTCCCGGGAGGTCACCATATTGATGCCGAACTTAGTGCGGACACCCTATCGGCATAGGGCACTACAGCCCAGAACTCCTGGGCTCAAGCCATCCTCCCACCTCAGCCTCCCGAGTAGCTGGAACTGCAGGCATGCGCCACCGCGCCCCGCGGCTTGAAGCTTTAACAGCTCCATGTTTTAACTCCCTTTATAGGGGGGAAAGAGAGTAATTGGGAAAGAAGAGTAGTTTGGCCTAAGACACGGTTAACAACGTGTTGTGGAAATAAGCTAGAAAACACAGTACTCCATAAACATGGAACATGAATACAGAAACAGATTATTGATGTCTGTCAAAGGCATAATTATATAATTGTCTATTGTAAAGTAAGCAAATATAATAAAATACTCATTCAAGTTTATGGTGCCAGAAGCTGTACATTGGCAGTGACCCCGTATTCCGTGAACTTGTTTTAGACTTTGGAAAACTTTAAATTCCTTTGAATTCTCTGTCAGCATTTGAAAACATGATTTTTTCATAAAAATATCTGGATTTTTGTCTCCCGAAAGGTCAGAAGATCTAGCAACACAGCAACACCAGGCCCGTGTTCCACTTGACAAATAGTGGCTGCTGGGTAGCCTTCTTAGAGGGTATGTGTTCTGTTACTCTGAAGGTCCTCTGTCAATTACTGACATTAGAGCAGAATTGGGAGGAAAAAGAAATAGTTCTTGCATCTCTGTCTTTCAAAACTGTGCAAACGAAAGGTTAACTAAGGGCTGTATATTTCAAGAAAAAAACAGCATGTTTCTTTGTGAAAGGAGAGAATGTTCCATGAACTTAATATGCAAACAAAGTCAGAAGAGGACGGTTCTGCCTGGCCTTCGTAGGTAATTGAGTTTAACATCTGACTTATACCGGAGGTGGGTGCTCTGTGGACTGGGCCCCATTCCAGAGAGGAGATTTTAAAGCTATTTTTCTGAGGATCAGTGAGACGTGTCATGGGAAAGGAGGAAGGGATGAAGGGCAGAGGAGGCATTCCAGGGAAAGACTGGAATGTGGAAAAAGGAGATCTTGACTAAGGAAAGGATTTACTTTCCTTTGAGAGAGGGTGGAGGCTTTTGTATCAGAAAAAATGTTTTCAGGCAGCTGTAAGGATTGGAGAGAACCTTGAAGTCCTTACAGTGATCTGAGGGACAGGAAGGAAGGGATTGCAGGGATTTCCAGACGGCTGTGACTCTGAGATGATTCACATCTTCTCTTCTGTCCTTACTGCTTTGACCAGATTGAAGGAAAAGATGAACAGATTGGCAACGGCGATTTGGAAAAACAGCGGTGCACTATGATGCCTGTCTCTCTCACTAGATTGTGAACTCCTAAAGGTTTGACTATATTTTGTTAATGAATGTTTGTGACCTGTTAGACGTAGCGGGCAGGAGGACTCTGTTGCACAAAGTATTGAAGAAACATTTGATAGGCTTCCTGTGGCCACACAGCAAAGTTTCTTGTCTGTCTACAGCTGGGAGTAAGTGAGCAAATATCTCTAGTTACACAGTTACGTCATACAACATTGGATCACGTATACTACAGTGGTCCCATAATAATGGCGCTGAAAAATTCCTTTCGCCTAGTGACGTCTTGATGATCCTGACCCCGTGAAGCCCCAGGCTAATGTGTGCATTTGTGTCTTTGTTTTTAATTTTTAAAGAGTTTTTTTTTTTTTTTTTTTTTTTTTAATCTTTTAGAAGGCTGGGCACAGTGGCTCCAGCCTGTAATCCCAGCTCTTAGGGATGCAGAAGCTGGAGGGTAGCTTGAGCCCAGGAGTTTGAGACCTGCCTGGGCAATATAGTGAGACCCTGTTCTCAAAAAAAAAAAAAAAAAAAAAAAAAGGAAAAAAGAAAAAGAAACCTTTTAGAAGTTTAAAAAAGCTTATAGAATAAGAATATTTAAAAATACAGTATTTTGTGTAGCTATACGTGTTTGTGTTTTAAGCTAAGTTTGTGTATAGCTATACAATGTGTTTGTGTTTTAATGTGTTTGTGTTTTAAGCCAAAAGAGTCAAAACATTAAAGCAGTTTTAAAGTTTATAAAGTAAAAAAGTCATAGTAAGGTAAGGTTAATTTGTCATTGAAGAAAGACATTTTTCTTTCTTTTTTTTTTTAACTTTTTTTTTTTTTTTTTTTATAGAGACGGGGTTCCACCGTGTTGGCCAGGCTAGTCTTGAACTCCTGAACTCAGGTGATCCACCCGCCTTGGCATCCCAAAGTGCTGGGATAACAGGCGTGAGCCACTGCACCTGGCCGAAGAAAGACCTTTTTAAACATGAATTTAGTGTAGCATAAGTGTACGGTGTTTATAAAATCTACAGTACATTTACTCACCACTCACTCACTGACTCACTCACAGCCACTTTCAGTACTGCAAGCTGCATTCATGGTAAATGCCCCATACAGGTGTACCATTTTTTTTTATCCTTTTTTTTCTTTTTTCTTTTTGAGCCAGGGCCTCGCTCTGTTACCCAGGCTAGAGCGCAGTGGTGTGATCATAGCTCACTACAGCCTCGATTTCCTGGGCTCAAGCAATCCTCCCACTTCAGCCTCCTGAGTAGCTGGGACTACAGGCACATGCCACCATACCTGGCCAATTGTTTTATTTTTGGTAGAGATGGAGTCTTTCTAATCTATGTTGCCCAGGCTAGTTTCAAACTCCTGGGCTCAAGCAATCCTCCCACCTTGGCCTCCCAAAGGGCAGGGATTACAGGTTTGAGCCATATTTTCCATGGTGTTATCATTGCCTACACTTTTCCGTACAGTAATATGCTGTGGAGGTTTAAGGTCTAGGAGCAATAAGCTATACCATGTAGCCTGTATATGTAGTAGACATCTAGTTTTGTGTAAGTGCACTCCATGATGTTCACACAATGACAAAATTGCCTAATGATGCATTTCTCATAACATATTCCCATGGTTACATGATGCATGACTCTTATTAGAACTAGGTAAAAATCCCTGTACCACTGGGATGGGGAGTTTCACCTCTCTGTTTCACCTACTCTCTTACTTCTTCGTGTTGATGCTTCTCAGGAACATTTTCTGGCTTTTTTCTGTATCTGCAGTGTCTCTGGAGATGATATCAAGTCCAGCGGCCTTAAGTAACATCTATATGCTGATGATGCTAATTTTTATCTTCAGACAAGCTCAAGATTTGTATAGCCACCTATCTGCCAATTTGACACCTTGATCTGAATGTGTCATAGACATTTGATACATATTCAAAACATAATTCTTAATTCCCATTCTTCCAACAAACTCATTCAATCACAGATGAATATACCCTTTTCCCTTTCTCTTTAGAAGGATCATCCTGCTTCCTCCTTTTACTCCCCTCCCACAGGGGTCTTAACACTAAGTCCAACTGATTCTGTCTCCAAAGCATATCTTGTAACTGTTCGCCATTCTCCATCTTTATTCCTAGCCTCTACATTCAAGTGTGCTTAATATTCATTTCCTTCCTCTTAGTTCCAAACTACTTCTCTTTGTCCTACTTCATGGTACTGGAGATGTACCTGCAAACTACGTTTTTCTCTTGGATACATGGCTTTATATTAGGTTTGGTCAATTAGGGGCTAAGGGTATGCTGAAGGGATTCTCAAGGTTGGAGAAGGGAAAAGGGACATATCTTCTCCTGCTATTTTTGCCTTCTCCACATGATAGTGAATGGATCAGCACACACCTGGCCCTGGCAGTATTCCTTCTGGTAATGAATTGCTCCCATGGTTCCAGCAAGTGAATGTCCCCTGGAGGTTTCTTCTTCACCCCAGCAGTGGGTGAGATGTTTCTGCAGTAGCTGAACCATCTCCTTAGAGGCCCAAATCTTAGCCTGCTGCAGTCCTTTCTACATTTCTAAGTTTCCTCCTTGTTTATTTCTCCTTTCATCTTAAGAGTGATAGCTGTAGTCTGAGGTTGCTACCTCTATTACACCATATGATTCTCTTTTATCCTTTTTAGTGGTTAACCACCCTTTTACCAAGTTAACAGTTCCTTATGATTATACTTTCCTTATTTGAATGACTGTGGTTTTTGTCTCTTGACCAGACACTGGACTCATGGCAGTAGTGATCACTGCAAGGACTGTGGCGCAGGATGGATATTTCTGAGTGTCGTGGATGCTTACAGACAGAAGGTGAAAAGCTCAGGTTCTGAAGCTCTTGGTTCAGTTCTTGGTCTGAGAACTAGAGAATTTCCATGGCAGCCCTAAAATAACCTTTTATTTCTTGTAGCCACAGGGTTGAGATTGTTAAAAATTAAACACAAAATTTAATTTTACAGGTTGCAGAACTACGACATCAGTAATTTTGTTGGGAAGTGAATGCCGGGTTTCTCATGTGAAAGTTAGGTCCTTGATTGGGAAGGAAGGAGACCCCAAAACTTGGAAGGGGACATCTGGTTGGTCTCAAATGAGAGTGAGAATCTTGAACCCCTGAGTTGCTCTGAGTCTCCCTTGCCAGCGTGAGTAGCTTGCCCTTGTATATCTGCAGGGTTTTTCCCCCTCAAAAGCCCTGGTTCATCTGGAGCAAATACTTCACAAACGAGGATGCCCACTCTCCTTGGAACCTACCTCAAACACCCTTTATTGCCACTAGACCCATCACCAGGGTCAGTTGTCATCATATTCCAGTGGCTGGGAAGTGGCAGCAGGTCTCTGTCTATAACTCTGGCACTGAGCCCAGATTCCCAAGTCTGCCCCTTATTCCAGAGGGTCCCTGATTGCTATACAGAGGAAGTATGGGCCAAGATAACCTAACCAAACACCAGGCTCCAGATTCTCAAGCAGTCTCTTTCAACACCATGGTTTTGAAAAGTAAATTTGAGAGGTAATTTTAAGGCTCTTACATAGAAGAATTCTCCCCAAAGAAACATATCTATGGTGATTATTGTTCAATTCTGGACCTCTCAGCATTGTTTTCTTGCTCTGTCAGTTACAAAATAAATAATTCTAGCTTTCTGAAGCTTGAGTAGGATGTGTGACTAATTTACAGAGAAGCATCTCTAGTGGAGGATAAACAACACGAAGTATGTAATTCTGGCTGGGTGAGGTGGCTCATGCCTGTAATCCCAGCTTTGGGAGGCCGAGGTGGGTGGATCACCTGAGGTCAGGGGTTCGAGACCAGCCTGGCCAGCATGGTGAAAACTTGTCTCTACTAAAAAAAAAAAAATACAAAAATTAGCCAAGCATGGTGGTGGGCACCTGTAATCCCAGCTATTCGGGAGGCTGAGGCAGGAGAATCGCTTGAACCAGGGAGGAGGAGGTTGTAATGAGCCAAGATTGCACTGTTGTACTTCAGCCTGGGCAACAAGAGTGAAACTCCATCTCAAAAAATAAAATAAAATAAAATACATAATTATGTTTGGAGGCACCAAGAAGAAATGATATTGGTGTTGTCTTTTTATATAAAGTTAGATTATGAATGATATTGGTGTTGCCTTTTTATATAAAGTTAGTTATTTAATATTTAAAACAATTTACAAAGTTAAATGTTTTATATATCACATTTTCCCACACTTATTCATTCATTCATTTATTCAATAAGCATTTTGCCAGTCTTTGTGCAACATGCTGGTATAAAGCCTTGATGAGTTTATACTGTGATGTTCTTTTCCCTAACCTCTTTTCCTATATTTGCTCATTTATTTGTCATTCCATTTTCTCTAAACATTTCTTCTTTCCTATTTTTTCTCTTACATTATTTAAGTGTGTTATAAAAATAATTGTTATCAGCTAACACCCTTTTTGGCCTTAGCCCACCTGCACCCAGGTGAATATTTAAAAAAAAAATTGTTGTCTGTTAAGATTCAGCTATCCCAAATTAGGAATATATGGATTTTGAATAGTTCTTATAGCTGTAGTGGGCTGCATGCCTGCATTTTGCCTTTGTCACTAACAGCACCTGCTTATGGGACAATCAGAGGCACAGGAGTAGTAGAAGCAAAGTTAGGTACCCTACTGAGATCAATTCCATAATGTTGGACACTAAGCTGTAGCCATCCACCCTTTCAAAGTCTACCCTTCTATTGCTGCAGCATTAATTAGTACAATTCCTACTTCTCTCTGAAACAATTTTAGTTTTAGGTCATTCTCTCTGCCTAGCTACCTTGCCCATATGAAGTCTAGAAACTTTTGTTACACAGAGGTGTGCCACTTGGAAGAAAACAGTGTGGAAGGGCTCCATTAAGCATAATCCGAAAACGTAAAACCATGTGTTTACAATTAGCCTAGAATGAGCACTTTGGGTATGGGGACTCCTGCTGTGTGTTTTCTTGTGGCTGCCTAGCACATGGTGTCTTACTTGCTCAATAAGTCTGTTGTGTTTGCTTAATACATGTTTACTGACAGCAATGAATAAAAACTTAGAAGCTAGGCTGGGTGTTTCAACCGTCAGGTGAACAAATTCTGTGAGAACAAACAAATAAGAGTGACTTCCTTTTTCACCTTCCTTCCCAAGCCAGGGTTTATTTTTTTATTCCAGCCTTGTAACCTAAACTGGAGTAAGACACTGTGGCTCCAAGGTGGAAAAACGCTGAAAACAAGGCCAGAGATGAGAGACACGTACACCTCAGGCTGTTTCATAGCAGGTGTTTAGTAAAGAGATTACTTTTAGTTTATTTTGGCCCATACTCACTCTTCAGAGCAAGTGGAATGAGACAAATCTGGAAACCTGGGCTCAGTGCCACAGTTACACTCAGAGACCTGCCGCCACTTCCAGGCTGCTGGAACAAGTTGAAATTGGACTCTAGTTATGGGTCTAGTGGCAATAAGAAGTGTTTGTGGTAGGTTTTGAGGAGAATGGTCATCCTCTCTTTTGTGCGGCAACTGCTCCAGGTGAGGCAATTACACGGTTTTCAAGGGGGTAAAAAAAAGAAAAGACTTCTTAAAGACACAGAAGGGCAAGATTCTTTTTCTAGAAGCTTATTAGCTTTAAACTTTATAGCCTATGATCCATTTTGAGTTCCTTTTGTATAAGGTGTGAGTATAGGTCAGGCTTATTCTTCATGTGTATGTATGTATGCATGCATGTATTTGTGTGTATATGTATGTATGAATTTATGTGCATTTGAATGTTCAAATGTTCCACTATCATTTGTTAAAAATACCATAATTTCTCCACTGAATTTCTTTTGCTCCTTTAAAAAAATCAATTGACCATAAATACAAAGGTTTATTTCTGGACTGTCAATTCTATTTCATTGATTTATCTTTTCCTTTGCCAATACCACACGATCTTGACTACTATAAAGTCTTGAAATCAGGTAGTATGACACCTCCAATGTTGTGATGTTTTAAAAAATATATATTTTATTGCGTTTTAGGTTTTGGGGTACATGTGAAGAACATGCAAGATTGTTACATAGGTACATACATGGCAATGTGGTTTGCTGCTTTCCTCCCCATCACCTATATCTGGCATTTCTCTCCATGTTACCCCTCCCCAACTCCCCATCCCCTGCTGTCCCTCCCCTATTTCTCCACCACAGACCCCAGTGTGTGATGCTCCCCTCCCTGTGTCCATGTGTTCTCATTGTTCATGTGTTTTGTTTTCTTTTTTCTTTTGGCTAATCTGGTTCTTTTGGTTTTCTATCTAAGACTTTTTTTTTTTTTCAAGATGGGGTTTCACTATGATGGCCACATTGGTCTTGAACTCCTGACCTCAGGTGATCCACCCACCTCGGCCTTCCAAAGTGCTAGGATTACAGGCGTGAGCCACTGTGCCTGGCCTCCATATAAGAATTTAATTGTCTAAATCTACAAAAAAACCTACAAAATCCTTTGGACTTTCAATTGGAATTACATTGACTCTGTAGATTAGGAGATACATTTTAACAATATTGAATCTTCCTTATCCATGAATACTGTATCTCCACATTTATTTAGATCTTCTTTGACTTTTTCATCAATCTTTTGTATTTAGCAGATCAATTGTGCACATATTTTATTGTTTATACCTAAATACTTTCCATATTTTTGGTGCTACTATAAGTGTTATCTTTAAAAAAAAATTCAGATTTCAATTATTCATTGCTGGTATATGGGAATATAATTAACTTTTATATTTTGCCTTGTACATATGCTGCCATCTTGTTAACTCACTAGTTTAAAAGCTTTTTGTAGATTCATTGAAATGTTCTACAGAGATAAACATGTTATCTATGTATGAATAAATATATTTTTACTTTTTCCCTTCCAATATTTGTATCCTTTACTTCTTTTTGTTGCCTTATTACACTGGCTAGTACTTTTCAGTACACTGTTGAACAGAAATGTTAAGAGAGGACAACGTTTTCTTGTTCTCAGTCTTAGGGGGAAAGCATTAGTCTTTCATCCTTAAGTATGAAGTTAGAGGCAGGGTTTTCATAGATGTGTTTTATTAGTTTAAGGAAGTTCACTACTAATTCTTGTTTGCTAGAATTTTTTTTTTTAAATCATGAAGTGATTACTGAATTTATTCTAAAGATTTTTCTTCATCCAATAATATATTCATGTGCTCATTATTTTTTAGACTGTTGATGTTGTGACTTACATTGATTGCTTTTCAGATGTTGAGTGGGCCTTGCATTCTGGGGATAAACTCCACTTGGTCATGCTGTATTATTAATATCTTTTAAATATATTGTTGGATTCAATTTGCTAATATTTTATAAGAGTTTTGTGTCTGTGTTCTTGAAGCATATTGGTTTGACATTTTCTTAATTGTAATGTCTTTGGTTTTACTGGGAAATGTTAATCTCATAAAATGAATTGAGAAGTGTCCTTCCTCTTCTTTGTCTGGAAGAGATTATGTAAAATTGTTATTTCTTCCATCCATGGTAAACTTCATTAGTGAAACCATTGGGGCCTAGAGAATTCTTTTTGGAAGGCTTAAACTACAAATTCAATTTAAAAATTATATATACATATATATGAAATAAATCATTGCTTTAACATAAACTTTTTCTTCCTGAATGAATTTGGTAGTTTTTTTTTAATTTAAAAAATTATTTTGGGCCGGGCGCGGTGGCTCAAGCCTGTAATCCCAGCACTTTGGGAGGCCGAGGCGGGTGGATCACGAGGTCAAGAGATCAAGACCATCCTGGTCAACACGGTGAAACCCTGTCTCTACTAAAAATACAAAAAATTAGCTGGGCATGGTGGCGCGTGCCTGTAATCCCAGCTACTCAGGAGGCTGAGGCAGGAGAATTGCCTGAACCCAGGAGACGGAGGTTGCGGTGAGCCGAGATCGCGCCATTGCACTCCAGCCTGGGTAACAAGAGCGAAACTCCGTCTCAAAAAAAAAAAAAAAAAAATTATTTCATTTTATCTACATTGTCAAATTTACAAACAGTTTTTCATAGTACTGTTCCCTTGTTATCCTTTTAAGGTCTGTGGGGTTAATAGTGATGTTTCTTCTCTCATTTCTGATGTTTCTCATTTGCGTCCTATTTTTCTAGGTCATCCTGGCTAGAGGCTTATCAGTTGTGCTGAACTTTTCAAAGAATCAGCTTTTAGTTTCATTATTTTTCTCTATTGTTTTTCTATTTCCAATTGCTTTGATTTCTGCTCTTCTAATAAAACTTTCCTTCCTTCTACTTACTTTGGGTTTATTCTGTTGTTTTTCTAGTTTTGTCAGTTGCAAGCTTAGATCATTGATTTGAAATGTTGTTCTTTTCCAATATAAGCATTTAGTCCTATAAATTTCTCTAAATTACTGCTTTAAATGCCTTCTACAAATTTTGATATGTTGCATTTTCTCTTTCATTTATTTATTTTTCTAAATTTCTCTGTGACTTTCCTTTTGACCCATGGGTAATTTAGAAGTATGTTGTGTATTAGCCCATGCTCTCATTGTTATAAAGAAATACCTGAGGCTGGGCTTGGTGGCTCATGCCTGTAATCCTAGCACTTTGAGAGGTTGAGGTAGGAGGACACTTGAACTCAGGAGTTTGAGACTAGCCTGGGCCACATGGCAAAACCCCATCTCTACAAAAAATAAAAAAAATTAGCCATTTGTGGTGGCACATGCTTGTAGTCCCAGATACTCTGGAGACTGAGGGGGGAGGATTCTTTGAGCCAGGGAGGTGGAGGTTGCAATAAGCCGAGACTGCACTCC